CGCAAAAGACACGGTCTTCGAAGGAGTGAACGTCACTCAGACTACCTGCGCGAGCGCGACACACGGGTGTGCGCATTGAGCGTCGCCGGACAACTGAGACTTGCTCCGACCGTCGAAAATAAAGTTGGCGAAGCAAATATGCAACTACCCGCCAATATTAATTTATTATAATAAGGAAATTAATTTATATTTTAAACGGGATTAGGCAACACACAAACACTTTAAAAATGTAAAAAGGTATTTACCTTCCCGACGTTTCGACCCGGTGGCTCGAGTCATGGTCGCGGGCAGACTGAAGAGATGCGGCGTCGTCGGCTCGGGCGCGATTAATTTTCTTCACCCACCCGCGTTTGCACAATATTTTAGTCCATGGTACAGTCAGTCTGACAAAGTACACTAACAATGTCCGGGTGGTCCGGGTTTCTTTGAGACGTCCTAAAACTCGATTCTACGCTGATGATAGGTTAAATCCGTCTTCTCGATTGAAATTCTTGTACTTTTTAATTTCAATAGCTTCACGTATCAACCTAGTATGGTACCTAATGCCGATCAGTTAACAGGATTTTTGGGTCGTGAAAATACCTTTTTAAAAATGTTTGTGTGTGGCCAAATCCAGTTATAGTGAGAATTAGATAATTTATGTTACACAAGTCTGATAAATTAAGACGGACAATACCTACAAGCCAAGTCCAGTAACAATTAACATAGAAAAGAAGGAAAGTTGTAAACAACATGTAGCTAATTCGTAGAATAAGAAAACATAATATTACTGATATTACATTGTACACGAGATACACTACATGTCAATATGTTATACATTGATATATTATGTAGATGTTTGGTTTCTTTTTTTTATAGTATGAGTAGGTATCTACTTAGTTAGGTACCTATGTTAAAAAAGTGTCTTTTTGTTATAGGAAGTGTAGGTAATATTGGTTTACTGGATTTACCTCACAAAGTTGTTATTCATTATTTCTTAGCTGCCAGTAGAAGAAGAAAGTTTGTACATTATCTTAACAACTTTCATAATTTATTTTGTCTTGACCGCAAAACCTGTTTTTACCGCTGAATTAATATGCAATTTGTTGACGACATAGATAACAAATAGTAGAAAATATGAATGAAAATGAAAATGAAAATATTTATTGCCAGAATCAAACAATACAATAACTAAAAGACAGACCTCCACACTAGGCATTATATATTATATAGGCATATAATATCAGGTAACCTAACAAATAAAATTGTGAAGCTTTGAAATCTTTCAGAATCTTAGGTAGGTACCTACTTATTAACCTTTCACTTTCATCATTCCGACTTAATAATTATTACAAACCTACTTATCTAAAATTAGAAAATTCCAAATTCTCTGTGTCAGAAGGAACTCATAGTTAGTTATTAAATAACGCTAATTAGAATCCTTCCGTTGTGGAGCACCGCAACCAAAAATACATTGGCAAAAATCTAAATCTTGAACATGAGGGATTTCCAACATTATCATCAACAGCCCTTTACAGTCCACTGCTGGACTATGAGCCTCCTCCACTATAGTGGAGGGTTTTGCCATAATCTCCACGCTAGGCAGGCGGGTTGGAGAGGTTGGTCGAGAGGTCGGTTGGTTGGTTCCAACATTATATTAGAAAGTAAAGCTCAATTTATTCCAATCTGTTCAGTTGTCGTCATCATTAGTTATGTTATGTCTTAATAATGTTATCTATGTCTTATCAATATTTCTAGCGTATCTAGGTGAAGCTTTAATGTATAAGAATAAAAATAAAATCACAAGAAATATTTAAAAATCATTTCGCTGTTTTAATGCTCTCAGTCGCCATAGCAAAAGATCAACTTAGTTTGAGACTATATGCTATTTGAGGCAGAAAAGTTCTCGAGTGGCGACCAAGGGCTGGAAGACGTAGCGTAAGGAAGGCCTCCTACTAGGTGGACCGACGATCTGGTAAAGGTCGCGGGAAGAACCTGGATGCGGGCAGCGCAGGACCGTTCATTATGGAAAACCTTGGGGGAGGCTTTCATTCAGCAGTGGACGTCATTTGGCTGAAATCACGAAGACGACGTGCTATTTAGCGCTTTTGTTAAAAAAATCTAACACAAATACAAACAGGACAAACGTAAAACTTAAAACAACACTCTATAGCTGTCGGAGATGTTGCTGTCGAATGAAAAGATGTTTGATATTACAAAACGAACTTTCCGCAGTATCGAATGGCTTTCAGCTTTACTGTTACTTCTAGTCAAAGGGAAATGTAGTATTTAAAGTCAATACTCAATAGATCTAGGTCGACACCCGAGCCAGGAGCTTACATTAATCCCTTCCATTTCGAGAGAAACTATTTTCTTAGTCCGCTTTGGGTGTAAGCTGCTTTAATTGGGGCACCTAATTAGTAACCATACACTTATTATACGTTTATTATTAACTGGCTGGCACGAGTAAAAAAACGTGTAGTTATTTAAAAATAACATTCACCCAAGTCCTTAAAATAATGTTAGTTTAGCTGTGTTTATACGAGTACAGCTATGATAACAATATACAAACAATGATTAAAGTTAATCAAACTGCGAATTAAAAGGTGCTCTGACGCCAATGACTAAATGCGTCATTACTTTAGTCAACGGGTCATATTGTGCGGTGGTATTTGTCACTGATCCAGTTTCTGTGAGCTTTTATAAAGAAGTTGCAGAGTGCAAAGTTTGCACCAAGTCTTAATTGTGTTGAGAACGGTGTAATTCGAGACCACTGCAGTGTGCTTACCATGAGTTTGCGTTAAGTGTGCTCGCTAGCGAGTTCGTCAAAAAAATCTATGAAAATTTTAGTCAGCGAAAATATCCACTGGGGGCGCTGTACAATATGTCTAATTCTAACGACTAACGTAAACTTATGGTAAGCACACAGGTTGCGGCTGAAAACTATACAAAGGGAAAAATACTGATACTGTAAATATAAACAGGAAATAAAAATTGTCTCAATGGCTTAAAATCCAATAATGGGTCCCGCAGTCCCACTTAAAGACACTGCGTACTTTCCTCATTTCAGACTGATACACGTGTTTTCTATTCAGGTTTATTGTTTTTCCAATCAAGTTTTACATTTAATATCAAGTTATTTGCTGAATTGCTCTTAGATTTCATAAATGACAACGTGATTTTTGATTTACATGTTTTTCTCTTTAGAATTTTGTTTGTTATTGTTGATTTTGCATTTTTTTTCTTTAGGACACTGTTGTTGTTGAAAAATACTTTTAGCTATAGAACAATGAGGACAAAACTAGGCATGGAAGGTTTTCAATGTGAGCCTTCAGGTTTTAGGGAACATTCAGCGACATTTACATATTAAGTAGGTAGACCTCTTCGAGACAAGCATATTAAATTGTACTGATTTATCACCTTATGTTGGTAGGTACCCTTTAGATTTCTATTATAAGCAATTAAAAATAGTAATAAAAGTCCACTTTCTATTTTTAAATTCGTTTCATCAGAGACTTGTTTTATCAAGTTAGGTACGCGAAGAAATCTCTTACTTTAAGTTAGGTCTGGATAAAGTTTCAAAATAATAATACCAATATTATAATAATACAAGAAAATAAAGTAATAGAAGTAAAAAAAACAATTAGATGGCTGGCTCTAATCTACTATCTTAGCGGTCTCATGAAATCTTTAAATCGAGTAAATGGGTATGGAAAAATATTTCGTAATACCTTTTCCTCCAAAACGTTTTACATTTTAAACAAGCAAGCTTTTAATTGAAAAAAAAAACAATCACTTTCAACTATGTATTAAATTGCTATTAAGAAACTTCGTAACCTCGTGTAGAAAATCACAGATAAAAATACAAGAAAGGCTTACAGAAAGAAAAGCAAAAACCCTAAAAAATAAACCAGCCTGCATTGTTACTCTGTGCCCTTTGTAGAGCGTACAGTCACAGAAGAAAGTAATGAAAGACCCGCGTAGAGCATAGAGGACTTTCTAAAACCTCCTCTAACTCCAAAGGAAAAATGTTAAACGCACTAAAATGGATGACGTGGCGAGTGCACTCAAAGGCTTGCCTGTTGCATTTACAAGGATATTGACTGGCCTAGAATACCCTAATTTGACCTTTAGTTAACTGAGCTATATGACCATGCTATATGATATTAAGTTCGCCTTTATACCAGTAACGAACTGACTTTTTGTTTCAGTATTCAGGATTTGGAGCTAGCATAGAAAACTATACAACGTGCTCTTTTTGATTTCCTGGAACTCTAGGGTATTAATAAGACCACTTCAAAGAATGGAATGGCATTACATTTTTTGTTAAATTCAATAATTTTTTTCGACTTATTCTTTCATACGAAATTATTTAAAAACTTAATTTTCACTGAAGTAATTCATAATTTACATACACTTATCAATAAAAAGTCTGCACAAAAAGACTAGGTGATAATTTTGAAAAAAAAAAAACTAGATTGATGATACTATAATATAATTTTAATATTTGAATTTGAATTTGAATCAACCAATATCTTCAAAAATATGCTTTTAGAAACACATATTCCTAAGACTCTATTCTATTATTTATTATACTTAAATTCTATAAATAAAAACTATTATACTTATTACAATTATAACTAGTTTTTATTTATAGAATATAAGTACCCCTAAAATTTCCGAAAAACAAAAGGAGCGCGTTGTATAACAAAAGAAAATGTGCAAATCACAAAAGAATCTTGCACAATAAGTTACTTCAAAATTGTGATATTTTATATTTTTAACAATACTTTAATAATGCAGCTTGCAGAGCCTAACTTAACTTTTTACTGAAAGCTCTTCAAGATAACTTATTTACTAAAGACAGATTTTTTAATTCTGCAGCTAACTTGCAATTAGCAACCCACGACATTTTCACTTTCGCCAAGTTTAAACATATCCAGTAAATGATATTCAGCTGCCCACGGCGTTTTTGGGCAGTTTATAAGCGAGGGCGGGCAAGTGGCGCTCACAGTCGCCCACAGCGCGCCGCCCGCCCTACCGCGCCGCCCGACGTAACTGCAGCTTTAGCTTTTTGGACTTTTTGCGCGTGCTACCGTGCTTTCGAACTTGCAGCTTAAAGGAATATCTGGTAAGTTAAATAAAAGTAACAGGTAAAATTAAGGTTACGCTAATTTTACGTTTATTTAGATAAAGTTATTAGTTTGTATTTTTTTTGACGGAAAAGTTGGAAAATTCTCCAAATGAAAAAATTAACGCCCACAAGTTTTGAGACTTTTGAAGGCGGTCTATAAAATAGATAACCGCTACTGCAGCGTGGTATCTTAGGATATGTCAAGGGGCTTACAAAGTTTAAACTACCGATAATCATAAAAATAATTACTAACGTTTGTCATATAAGAACTAAGTAATGCCACTATAATAAAAATCAGATTGCTACCGGTACCAAACAACAAGATAAATAAAATCATATCAAAATTTCTTAAAGAGCACGAAATAACCCATAGTAAAACAATTATATTTTAACAAGCAATTAAAAGTTTAAAATAGCATTACATAAGCCATCAAATAATCACACATCAATCAAACAATTTTAACCACTTTTATATCTATCAGTATAAAAAATTAAAGGCAATTAAAAAGTGGAATTGTAGAACTAAAGCTGGTCTATCATTTAAAGGGTTTGAACAAGGCCCTGTTATTATTGACGAAACCGAACGAATTAAAAGTCTCTTACAAATGAAATACAAATGAAAACCTTTGGTGAAACGGCCTTTTAATTAAGTACTGTAATTTCAGTAGGTACCTATTTGCCAAATTGCATCACAAAGTAAACATTAAAGACCTGAATGAAGATTGAAGATAAGAGTCCTATTTTTAAACAAATTATTCGTAATCACATTGCAATTAGGTAATTTGTTAAATGGCACTCAAAAGTTATTACACACAATACAGATTAGATTTAATTTTATCATACAACATTTATGGTGTGTTTATAAAGTCTAAAACCTGTATAACACACACACAAAATACAATAAAAAAAATGATATAGTCGATTATCGAACCTCCTCCTTTTTGAAGTCTTTTAAAATGTAACTTTCCTGAACTTCTTTTAAAAATTTAACCCTCTATGCTTAATTCGCAATTTCGCATAAAGTTGAGTGTATTCATTGGCAACTCGGAGTTCGGACGTTGACGAAGTGGCTACAATGTAAAAACGTCAATTAACTTCAAGTTCAATGTTGCAAGGAAAGCAAACCTGATCGCTGCTATTTATATTCCAACCTGATCTAACCGTGAACTAATTAATAGGGTTTTATTTCCAGATACTTTGTTTTCAGTTAACAAACCTCTTTTTCTTTTTTTTATCCATAAGAAAACCTAGCGGGACTCGGAAGGTTTATTAGTTCGACTGAAATTCAGATTTTACGTAACCATTGGTCCATTGTTGTTGTTTTTCCGCAGAGCATTTCAGATTTTTATGTTTATTATTATTGATGGATATTTTATGTGATATGCGTGGGACTTCCACCCACAAGGTGAACCGACGACTTGATAAAGGTAGCAGGAAGGCGCTGGATGCCGGCCGCTACCAACCGTGCGATGTGGAAGTCATTGGGGGAGGCCTATGTTTAGCAGTGGACGTCCTATGGCTGAAATGTTGATGATGATGATGATGATGATTAGGTATGTGATATTAGCCAGAAGAATCAAATCAATTAATCATTTTTTATTTGCGAACATGGGTTCACTTACATACAGTAGGTGTTACAAGTTTTTTAGTATCTCCATCTTCCTCCTTTTGGCATGCAAAATACCTATTTAATTTTTGACAGCAGCACATTTAATGTTAATATATGGGTAATTAGCTATTCAGACAACTTAATATGCACTATTTGAACCCAATTACAATGTCAGGACAACAAGTCACGACTACTTCCTTCACCCACGACCTTTATGCTTTGCATAAAACATCTTCACAGCTGCAGTGGAATATTGAATATATCTCACGTCTGTATAAATATTAACTATCTTTGAATTAATGAAGTCGTATGCTAATACGTCGCTCACTAGTTAAAATCGTTTTGAGAACAATGTTTCACAAATGATAGTGTAAACTATCTCCCAACGGGACTATTCCCACCTCTCGTTCCCACCACTGCAACTCCTGTGTAGCCAGGATCTACAGCTTGACCGCCACAAAAACCCAACCAATGAAGGTCAAGTTTGTCCCGGGGGAAAGTTAACTGTCATTGGACCCGCAACGAAATTAATCAGAAGAACATAGGAGGAGTTCGAAATTAAGGTTCGACTTCCCTCCATCAACCATCTCCCAAGTCGAAGCGCTGGTAAAAAGACATGTTATGGGCTACCTTATTAAATAAGGCTTCGTTCGTTCGTTTCAGCCATATGACGTCCACTGCTGGACAAAGGCCCCCCCAAAGTTTTCCACAATGAATGCGCTACGCTACTAAATGCTACTAAATACGGCTTATTTTATTAATTTTTAGAATTCATAAGTGCCAAAATACAGGTCAAAATTTTGGATTTGATTTGATTTACGGCGTCAATTATGACATCATGGTTTACAACTATGCGAACAAGCTGTAAAGCGTGTTACCCAAATTGGAGGGGGTGTGCCATTCATTAGTAGCTTTTTTCAGTGAACAATCAACTTACATACTTGTAATTGATATGACTTATTACACTACAATTGCAGGCGATTCGTGGAAAACCTCTACCTTTTAGTACTCATTCTGTAGTTTCAATTAGTTGTTTAACAATGTTTTGAATTATTACCTAAATACAATAGATTGCAGCACTTTTTTCTGCGTTCGTTCGTTTCAGCCGAAAGACGTCCACTGCTGGACAAAGGCCTCCCCCAAGAATTTCCACGAAGACCGATCCTGCGCCGCTCGCATCCAGGCACCTCCCGCGACCTTCACCAGATCGTCGGTCCACCTAGTGGGAGGCTTGCCCACGCTACGTCTTCCGGCTCGTGGTCGCCACTCAAGAACTTTCCTGCCCCAGCGGCCATCAGCTCTACGAGCTATGTGCCCCGTTTTTCTGCGTTATTAAACATGAAACATTCCGATGACTATGATTTAGCAGGGAATTTAAGAAATACAACAGTTTTTATAGAGTTGTCCAGCAGTCGAACCCGGGACCCCTTGAATTAAAACCATCTTAGATCAAACAATCAACTCATTGCTCAGACAGTCAACCCATTTTGTTGGAATTATGAATTAACTATCATCGAACGAAAATCGCAATAGGTAGGTACGTTTGTAGTTATCAAAATTTTGCAGTGAGTGGATATACTTTCAAAAGCTTCATGCCTGAAAAGTTTCGGTAAACTTTTGATTGATTAATCGCGTTTTTATGTCTTATAAATACTCGAAAACTTTTTCATCATGAAATAAGTGAAATAAAAACAAAAGCAAAACTCTACAAGTGTCAAATTCGTAACGAAATAGTTGGAGTCAATTATATTGTTATTATTTTCTAAGAATAACTTCCAGTTACGAATTCATTGCTAATTGAAAGTGAATTGATTTTATTTATAGTTTCTGACTCTATTAGCTAAAGCCTGGTCCGTGAGCACGTAGAATTTTGTCCAATGACCCCAAGCTACCCATCCTTATCGCTTTAGACCGATCATTTTTTTTTGTTGACAGTCAATGCCTACAAATGTGAATATTTTAATCTGTGCTAAAAAGATATTTAAGCGCTCCAATTAATCTTAAACATAAAACTTAAGAATGGGTATGTAAATAACGGCCCGGATGCAGAAAATACAAAGAATTTTTAAGATTTTTGTTATTTCATTCAATTTAATGAGGGGTGACTTTTCTTGAGGGTAGTAATATTCAGGGGTATGTAGAGGATTGCAGAGTGTAGGGACAATTGCCCTTTGTGCCGCAGGAAATCCGTAGCCTCTTAAGGCGCGGGTTCCGAAAACGGAGTTACCGCTGCAAATAATAATAAAAATCATATAATATAGTAAGTATAGAATAGATTATTCAGCGGGTATCTTCTACTTACATAGTGAAAGGAAAGACCGCTAAGGAATGCTAAATTATAGGATGGATCAGCGAAACCAGACTGACATGACATGATAATGTTGTTTTTTTAAAAGACCCTGCCCTGCCTTATTCAACCGACTTTTCTTCCAATCTGTTTTTTAAAAGATGAAAGGTGGTCACAAAAAGACCTTGAGATTATGATAAAACAGTAACGAAATTTTTTTGCTCTGAGTCAATATCGGTTCCGATGTCCGTTTAGATTTTTTTTATGCAGATTTGTTTCGTTATATGGTTTCATATTTGTACGGTGCAGCCTGTATTTGGAATTTATCCAATTCGATCCCGATTGATTAATTGAATTATTCAAGTTGCAGGCTTTAAAACTTGATCACTTTCACACAAAAAATATTTGTATAAATTTTCAAGAACGAGCCTTCTGCACTATAACGCATTGATTCTGAGTGTTAATTCAATAACTTCAATTCAAGACAGGTGTCTGACTAGCTAATCAAATCTTAGGCATATCTTAGGAGTTGAACTTGGCTCACTTCTCATAGATCGATTGAGTTGAAACTTGCATATATAAGTTGAATGGACGTGCAGTTGTTAGATTTTAAGTAACGTTTATACAGATAGTCTATCTCTATCATACTTTAATTAATGCTTTCTTAATGCTACTGTCTCTATTTTTAGTTTCTATACTTTTATGTTAGAACGCCCCACAGCTCGATGGACTAACGGAGATATTTGTGGCTGAAATAAACACAGCGAAAGATCGGCTATTTGGTTATTGTAACATAGGTACTTTATAAGTAGGCTAATAAAGCACTAAGTTCATCTACTTCGAAAGTGTTTTCTTGAGAGAAAAAGTTTTTATGCATAATAAAAAGTTATTTATGTAAACTGGTGCAATTTCACCCTTTGTGAGTTAGTTTGCTGAGTTATCTTTTCTTTTTACTTAGAAATGAGGAAAGTAGAAGGAAAAAATATTTATCTACTTTTAAAAGTTCAAATGTAACAATGAAGCATTTAACTTTCGTGTCTTTTTCGTATCTTACGCTGAGTTGCACCAACATTTTAACCGTAACTATAACAATAACCGGTTCTTTTTGTAAGGAGTTTGACTGATTTTTGACGTTTGTTAAAGTCAAAGTAAGATAGTGCAACCCAGCCTTAGAGTTTTCGTGTAACGTATCGTGTCTAATTCGAAATTACAGCTGAAGCCTGAAAGTGACCTTTACCTGTAACTGAGGGCCTCTTTTCATGGCTCCATTGGGAATAGAACGTAGTGCTTCTCGGCTTTGTTGTTTCGACGATAGATTCCGATAATTAACCAATAAAACATCTAATTGCCGAAGGCTGAGCGAACTCTTCCTACAAACCACGACCCTTTGGGGTCTGCCCTGTGATTGAAAGCTATCGTTTTAACGCGTGGGCGGCACGCGTCATCTTGACGACATGGAGGTGGGACACGCCACGTGTCAAGTGACAAAATAAAGATGGAAATAACCACTAATATAAGTAAATGCTTGCGTCTATTTTTGCTATCGAAATTATGCACGTCAGACAACCCATCACATATATTACTTATTGCTCGTACCGTGGGGAAAACAACTTTTTTCAAAAGTAGCCGGTTATGCTCTTGTATAATGTCCTATGGCGTAGGTTAAACTACTGACAATAGTCAGTATCAGGCTTTAAGACTATACAATCTAAATGTAATCTAATAAGTCTTAACGCCTGAATTTATTGAATGATGATCCAAAAAGCTGATCCAATATCTTGCACTACGCCTCGCCCCAGGTTTTCAACAATAGGCAAAATACACACCTACTCATTCATTGATTTCTTTTTCAAAACAAATAAAATCCGAATCTGGTTACATGAAATACACAAAGTATCCCAGCGTATTTGCATATCTTTTGGTATAAAATATCTCTATTTACATAATATTTTCATGAAATGTGTGTGTCTTACTTTGCATTGATAAAAATTGCGCATAATATTTACCAACTTTTTTATTTATAGTTTAAGGCCGGGTAGCAGAGAAAATGGCGAAAATGAGGTTTTCATTTTTCATTTTTGAGGTACTAAACAGTAAAATTAAAGGCTAAGATTTTTATTGGGCATAGTTGACGATATTTTCTAGGGCTATTAACGGATGGAAACACGATTTGATGAAGTTGACTCGATAGAATAAATTCCCAAAGTTACCTCTATTCGTTTTCTATTTATGGTTTTATTTTTAAAATAAGCGATTTGAGATTCTAAATCTTTTACTAGACTAAAGTTCAGAAATAACTTGAGGGCTTTTAACGGATGAAATTTTTATATTGCGTCTTATTTAGTTACTATGTTAAAAAATGTAGAAAAAATCGTCCATGACGGCTTGGACAATCTCAATCAGTCGCGCGGTGGCGCTTACGGAGGTCGGACGCGTGTCAGTTTTTTGGCCGTGACAGTTCGCGATTTGTCAATATTTTTGACAATGATGACTTTGATGAGTCACAGTATAATAATATCAGTGTTACTGGAGAAAGCTTAAATTCAATTCAATTTTGTCTACCTATTGAAATTTAAATCGTTCGCATCCTTTTAAACGAAGACTCTACTCATGATACATAGTACATTCCTCAAAATATGAGACAAAACCAATGAGTTAAAATTACATTTTAATAGTACCTACATACAATCGTCTTACACTCTTTAGAAGAGCACACTGACACAAATAAATAATAAAAAATACTGTCTAAGGTCTGTAGCTAAAGGTCTAAGCTGTAAGATAGAAGAATCTTCTAGCCAAAAAGATGGCAGATGCAGCAGATGTCAACGGATTTAAAACTGGAGTTCATATGACTCCTTGTAGACTTGAGTCTCTAGAGCGTCCCTTCCTCCACCATGCGTAAGAATTTTCACAAAAATACTGTCTAAGGTCTGTAGCTAAATGTCTACGCTGCAAGATGGAAGAATCTTCTAACCAAAAAGATGGCAGATGCAGCAGATGTCAACGGATTTAAAACTGGAGTTCATATGACTCCTTGTAGACTTGAGTCTCTAGAGCGTCCCTTCCTCCACCATGCGTAAGAATTTTCACAAAAATACTGTCTAAGGTCTGTAGCTAAAGGTCTAAGCTGCAAGATAGAAGAATCTTCTAGCCAAAAAGATGGCAGATGCAGCAGATGTCAACGGATTTAAAACTGGAGTTCATATGACTCCTTGTAGACTTGAGTCTCTAGAGCGTCCCTTCCTCCACCATGCGTAAGAATTTTCACAAAAATACTGTCTAAGGTCTGTAGCTAAATGTCTACGCTGCAAGATGGAAGAATCTTCTAACCAAAAAGATGGCAGATGCAGCAGATGTCAACGGATTTAAAACTGGAGTTGATGTGACTCCTTGTAGACTTGAGTGTCTAGAGCAGTCTTTCCCAAAGTGGGCGATAACGCCCCCTTGTGGGCGCTGCAGGCTTAAAGGGGGCGGTAAGAGACCCAGAAAAAAAATCGGGACGTTGTGTAGAGGCTTGGGAGGCGTCATTTAGTAGGAGGACTCTTAGACACCGACCACCTCATAATCGGTCAAAACCAGTTTGACTGCAAAAATCAGTTAAAAGTGGTTTTGACCAAGGTGTGCAAGTGCACCACACCACCACCACCGGTTAAGAACCACTGCTCTAGAGCGTCCCTTCCTCCACCATACGTAAGAATGTTTCAAAAATACTGTCTAAGGTCTGTAGCTAAAGGTCTAAGCTGCAAGATAGAAGAATCTTCTAGCCAAAAAGATGGCAGATGCAGCAGATGTCAACGGCTTTAAAACTTGGGAGTTCATGTGACTCCTTCTAGACTTGAGTCTCTAGAGCGTCCCTTCGTCCACCATGCGTAAAAGTTTTCCAAACATACTGTCTGAGGTCTGTAATAAAAGTCTAAACTGCAAAATAGAAGAATCTTTTAGCCAAAAACATGGCAGATGCAGCATATATCAACGGATTTAAGACTGGACTGGCACCACCTTGCAATGTCATCCTCTCATTGTTATCTGTAATGTAAATTATTTTTAAAATGTATTTAAAAAATAAAATGTTCGTTTTATTATTTCAATAATCTGACCTCTCAACTCAACTACACTACACAAACACCTTTGTTCGCAACTGTACTGACGAAACCTCGATATTATACCGTTCATTTAAGATGGCAAGCTTTTTGCTGCGGTAATGCACTCCAGGTAACCGTGTGTGATGCTTATTGCTCATAGTGATTTTCGATACAGAGCCCCGTACATACGTTATACATAAATTATGGAAAGAAAACACCCAGACCAATACAAACAAATATGTATGCAATTTTAGTATGATATTTTTCTTAAAATTCTTTAATCTAGAAATTTGAAATTCTTTTAGCCGGCGCGGAACTTCCGGAAGGTCGGGTGACGCCACGCCTCTTTGAACCGTGTTTAATTTGGCAGTTATATTCTATGTTTATTGGATTCTAAAATATATTCCCAAAAATTTTGAAAGTTGTTTTATTTTGTATCACTTGGATATGATTTGTATTAGAAAGTGCTGTGAGTGTGACGCTTGAACGGAAGGAAGTCAACCTAACCTAACCAACTGCGTATTTCCAAACTTCGTATTTCTATACTGTGTAGCCGCGAGAGCTCTTTGGCGCGCTGTCTTCGGCGAAGTATTGCGCGCGCAGATTTTGACAGCGCGAAATACCTACTTTAGCAGAAATACCAAGCCTTAAGCGATAAATGTTTTATGTAATGGCCAACTTAAACAACGTATGTAGGTACTTAATTTTAAACCATTTTAATCTTGACTGAGTAGATAATACGCAAAGGCAATAGGATGTCGCCGTGTTGTAATTTTGAAAAATAGTGGACATGTTATTGTATTACTCATATTTAACCGGTAATTAGAAATTACTCAATACTCAATATTTTATTGCATCCATTATGTACTTAAAATTAGAACATTATGGGCCCTGTAGGGCACGGCAATTGGAAATTATAACTGTCAAGTGCGAGGCGGACTCGTACACGATAGGCTCCGTAATATGGTGTAAGATTTTAAACCAGAATCACGTAATCCTTTGGTTTTTGGGGCCATGGAACTCGAAATTTTAAACAGTTGAAACATAGAGCAGTTATATTTTATTTAATTAATGTTAAGAAATGAAAATAATATTAAGGTCAGTGTGGTGACGGGACACAGAGTAAAATCTTGTTTAATGTTCCTGCCCCCTTGAAAATGTAGTCAGGTTGGTGCTGGAGCATAGAGCTGTCTTTTGTTTAATATTCCAGCTCCCTTAGTAGCAGATGTGGTCAGTGTGGTGCTGGAACATACAGCAGTCATTTGTTTAAGGTTCCAGCTCCCTGAGTATACAATGAAGATGGTTGTGTTGTGCCGGAACTAATTTATTGAATGCCCCAATCTCTTTGTAATGAAGATGTAACACGGTCTTTTATTTATTATTCCAGCTCCCTTAGTACTAAAGATATGGTCAGTATGGTGCTGGAACATTCAGCAGTCATTTGTTTAATGTTCCAGCTCCCTAAGTACATAACGAAGTCCAACGCCTTAACGTTCCAAGTCCAACCCCTTAACAATGGAAATGTGGTCAGTGTGGTGCTCTAACATAGCAGTCTTTTGTTTAATATTCCAGCTCCCTTAGTACTGTGCAGATGTGGTCAGGATGGTGCTGGAACATACAGCAGTCATTTGTTTAATTGTCTCAGCTCCCTAATACATAATGAAGATGACGCGATCAGTGTGGTGCGTGAACATAGAGCAGACCACTTTGCTCTCTGCTCTATGTTTCAGCACCACACTAATCACATCAGTCTGCTGCAGACTTCTAAGTACATAATAAAGTTGACCATGCCGTGTTGTACCGAAACTAATTTATTGAATGTTCCAGCTCCTTAGTAATGAAGATGTGGTCTATGTGGTGCCGGGCGCTGGTGGGTGCATGGCTGGTGGCCCTGGGCGCCTCCCTGGAGCTCTACGACCAGCTGCCAGCTGACGAAGTCTACTACCAGGTAACTTGGTGACCAGGAGGGCGATTTAGGGCTTTAAAATTACATGAATAAGATTAAAAATCGACATGTTGAGTATGTTCTCCGACCAGCTGCCCATCGACGTCTACTACCAGGTAGGTAACTTGGAGACCAGGCGGGCGATTTTGGGCTTTAAGATAATGGGAATAAGATTCAAAATTGTGGGGTTGAGTATGCTCTACGACCAGATGCCAGCCGACGAGGTCTACTACCAGGTAACTTGGTGACCAGGCGGGCGAATTTGGGCTATAAGATAACGAGAATAAGATTCAAAATGGACGTGTTGAGGATGCTCTACGAACTTAATCCATCGCAATGGGGATGTTGCCTGGGTCAAAAAGCAAGAGTTTTAATTAGTCCGTCAGTTAACTTATCAAAAAATACTCTACACGTATTTTTCACTTTTTCAAACTAATGAAAATTTAAAGAGATAAAGCGCCCCAAAGTTCATAAGAAGAGGCCCGTGACGTCAACGCTTGCTTAAAAATGCCGCACGTTGTGACGTCGTGCGCAACTTCAACGCACCATAACTATGTAATTATTTGTTAGATTGACAAATAAAAATATATGTGTCCAATATTTTTTGATATTAAACATTACGGACTAAAAAATTTTTTTTAGGAAACTAGCCTATTGTAGCCGTTGATTTTTAATTAGCGATAGGCACTCCTTATTAGCACAGCTCTTCATATTAATAAATGACCAACTAGCTGACGTCTTTGAAGTGATTATCAACAGCATGGTAATTACTGATTTGTGCAAAGGCACACCTAAGTCAATGTTGTGTATCCGCTTTACCTATATTGTCCCCTCAAGGCTGTATCACATCAGGTACTAAAATAATGGCGGGTTAAATATTTCATTTTGCGTCACTTACCTAATTAAAACGAGATTTATATGCGGACATGCTGATATTTGGTCGTCACACTAGTGGGGAGCCAGGACTTGTCCCACATTGCTTCTGGTCAAATAGGGGACTCGTGCTCCTTCAGTGGAGATTAAATGAAGATTTTTTTACAACGATTTATCCACAACGAGGAAGCTCTAGGACTATATTTCATCTGATGAAAAGTGATGATAAGGTCGGAGGTGGAAGCGAGTTTCACCCGAAATTCTCAAATACAGAGGAACTGGCTATCTCTCCTCTAACTGCCGGAACACAACAAAATTGTTAACATTGTTGCTATGGCGAGACTTAGGTAAGATGGTGGTAACCATCTCCAAGTCTCGCTAGCCAGACGTAGGTAAGTTTTAAGTAGAACATGTCCTACCACCAACCAAAGGGAATAGAAAAATCTGCCGCTACTGGGAAGGATTGTACTTTTACAACTAGACCACAGTGCACATGCTAACGCGCGTTTCTACATGTTGTGTGAGCGCTCATCATTTGAACGTGGCTTTAAATCGCTTTCACATTTAGGCGACTTTAGCAACGCGACAAACGCGCAACAAACGCGCAACAAACGCGCTGCCGATAATTCAATACTATATGACAGCGGATGCCTGCCTTCACAAGAAACGCCACTGCCGCGCTGCTGTCGCGCTTCTCACGCCCTAATGTGAAAGTGGCCTTAGATGTCGATGACGTTGATGATGTTTTACCTACATCTTTTGTTTGCAGGACGAGAATGACATCGACACGGGGCCGTCTGGAAACTCGCTGCCGAGCATCAGCGACGTGATGATGCGGAGGCTCCTCAAGGCCTGGCAGATGCAGAGGTTCGCTGACGTCACTAACGGGTAGGTAGTTCGATTCCCAGTGGGTTCCAACAAGAATTTTAAACTGATATAAATGTTATTGATATTGATGATATTTAATTTTGTTTTAACAACAGCCTACATTGCAATCCCAACTATATAATATTATAAATGCGAAAGTAACTCTTTCTGTCTGTCTGTCTGTCTGTCTGTCTGTTACGCTTTCCCGCTTAAACCTCGCAACCGATTTTGATGAAATTTGGCATAGAGATAGTTTGAGTCCCGAGAAAGAACATAAGATAGTTTTTATCCCGGTTTTTGAAACAGGGACGCGCGCGATAAAGTTTTTCTGTGACAGACAAAATTCCACGCGGGCGAAGCCGCGGGCGGAAAGCTAGTTAATGATATAAATAAAACAATGTGTTTTTGTACTGCGAACTGTTGCGAATCGCATTTATTTAATATTTAATTCATCATTGACTTTTCTTTCTCTTTTATTGAAAGGTTTTATTACATTCACAATGACTTACTTGAATGATAAATAACACGTACCTAATTAATTATTCGTGTTTAATTAGGAATGTATAGTTTATTGTATTGGAAATAGTATGGACATAATACACCAATAGTGTATCTTTTTAGTTGAAGCTGGTCTACGTATTGTTACAATATCAACTCGGCTCTAAGACTAACTTCTCAGAAGAGACAATATTTTTCGACTTATTAATTGAGAAATAATATCATTACATCGACTTATTTCCGCAAAATACTTGTAAGAAGAAAACCCTTCTTTTTGTCGGAAAAACCGTTGCTAATAGTACCTACTTTCTGAGATTAGCCCGAACAAACACAAACGTGCACAAACTCAGTGTGACGGTCCACTTACCTACATAATTTTACTATGTAGCTATATGATAATAGCCCTTATGGCTTAGGAGTCTGACTGTTGAACTATTCTAAAACAAGCATATAATATTTTGTAGCTCAACTGGAGACCATTACGGAAACCGATAAGAATTATGCCCGTTTTCACCATCAATCCCTAATTTTTAAGTTTTCATCGGGATCTCTTAAAAATTAGGGATTGATGGTGAAAACGACCATTAATCATCGTCTTCATCATCAGATCATTTCATTTATTTAGTTTCCACTGGTGGAACACGAACACGACACTCTCTAATTTACTAGAGGCAAATGGAGAATTTAGTCTATTCTTCACGCTGGCCAGATGGCTGAAAGACAGAAACTAGTAATTTTTATAAAAAAATGTTTGCAGAATGCATTCCATACCGATGGAAGGAGGCCCGGGAGGCCTGGAGCATCCACAGATGGCCTTCAACGAGCCGAAGGCCTTTAAGGCATCCGTCTACAAGCGCTTGTCCGAGGTGTACCGCGCGCCGGCGCCGGGCCTCGCCAGGCCGCAGCAGAAATGGAAGATCAAGAAGGGGAAGGCACTAGGTAGGTCTTATTTTAGACATAGAGATCTCCAAGGATCTAGGGATCTTCAAGGATACTGAACACATTAACGCCCGTATTCACAAACATTACTAGGAGGTCTCACAGTGCGCGTAGACGCACAGGGTCTAACGCTGTGCGTTCGATTTCCCATCGTTTGTGAATAAACAAATGAAATGCGATTAAAAACTCTCTCTATGATAAAAATAAGGGCATAGTGACAACCTTGATGACTTATTTGCTGAATGCACATCTGCATTCATTTGCCTAGTTGGAGTGTTCGTTCGTTTCAGCCAAATGACGTCCACTGCTGGACAAAGGCCTCCCCCAAGGTTTTCCACAATGAACGGTCCTGCGCTGCCCGCATCCAGGCTCTTCCCGCGACCTTTACCAGATCGTCGTTCCACCTAGTAGGAGGCCTGCCCACGCTACGTCTTCCAGCTCGTGGTCGCCACTCGAGAACTTTCCTGCCCCAACGGCCATCGTCTCTACGAGCTATGTGCCCCGCCCACTGCCACTTGATTTTAGCAATTCTGCGAGCTATGTCGGTTACTTTGGTTCTCCTGCGGATCTCCTCATTTCTGATTCGATCACACAGGGAAACTCCGAGCATAGCCCGCTCCATCGCCCTTTGAGTGACCTTGAGTTGGAGTGTAGCAATATCGGATATTACGTGTAGAAATGTGCCGTGACCGACGATCTGGTGAAGGCCACTGAAGAACCTGGATGTGGGCAGCGCTGAACTGGTCGTTATGGAAATCCTTGGTAGGCCTTTCTCTTCCAGACAGTGGTGACTGAGTTTGTTGCGGCGCTTCTTCTCAGCACTTGCCAAATGTTGGTCTCGAAGCGCTGATAGGGTAAAAAGATTATGAGACATGTAGAGGCTTAAGAGCAAAATATTAATTGACGATTTGTAAGTACTATTTCATAGTCTAATAAAGATTTTTTGACTTTGACGTCATTTTGGCTTCCTGCTGTAGTAGAGGGGTGCAGGAAAGGTAATATTACTGTGACGTAACACACTTAATATAATACTCGTATACATCAGAAGCGCTGACGTTGGACGTAACAAAAACGCACTATCACGCGCCGCTTCACCAGACAAGCACCTACTTGGACGAGCAAACATAAAACATAAGAGCACATAATGTATTACGTGATTACGTGACGCGAATCCAAGATGAATTGCAGTTTCTGACGATGACAGATTATAGGTACTAATACTAAACATGTTAATGAAACCGTGAATTGACGTGAATTGTATGGGTAGATAAAATTAGTGCTAATTAATCCGACTAATAAAGATTTTTCTTCTTAAGTTCCATACACATTATTATTCTGTGTCCATACCATAGGTACTCATAAGGGAAAAAGGAAGCCTTTTTAAGGTCAATTCCTTGTCCATGTGGTTAACTAAGTTACTAAAAAATTTAGGTAGGCAGTTCCGGCATAGTAACTATTTCTACAGAGTAAAGTTCAGTTTTTTAACTCATATGATATTTCCTCGTACGTTGTAACTACGTGCTTAGAACAAATTAAAAGTAGTCCAGTAGGTAGTCTTCTAAGAATACTCTAAATGACGTTATTGTCTAACTCTAAAATATAATGAGAAGTAAAAAAAACGAGTTTTTAATTTACGTCACCCACACATGACTGAAATGCAAGCAAAATACCACTTGACGCAGTCGACTTGTTCAGCTGAAAAAACATAATATGTAATCCAAGTAATTACTTATTAGCATTATAAATATGAAAAGTCAGCAAACCAATCAAATAAGACAGTAGGTCTAGGATGCGCGTTTCGACAAGCGGTTATCACGCCAGTTTATCGATTTCGCCCCTTCATTTTGACATCGATAAGAGTACGAGTATATCATGGCGCGCATCTTAGCCCGGGTGGTGTAATGTAAAACCCTATTTTAACAAAGCTTTTAAAATATTTTTTCAGGATCTCAAATGGTGTGCTACTTCAAGCTGTGCGCGTTTCGTTCCCCGCAGTAATGCGCGGGCGCACTCACCACAACGCGTCGCAATAACATGCACGATTACCTTCTGGACTCCAGAGGGGACCCTACCACCGCTGATACCTGAAATAAATTAGAAAAACATTAACTAAATCTCTATTTAATACTTCGAAGGTTAACAGAATTGACAGTTTAAAGTTAGAAAATAAACTTTTGTAAAAAGGAAGGCAATTGTTCGCACAAAGATTACAAGTGTATTGTTCTGTATGTCAAAGCCTTCGGAAAAGTTGGCTACCGCAATGTTTTAAAGGCTCTTTTTGTAGTCACTACAATTTGGCTCTATGGCGACTTCAATGTAAATCCATAATGGATTATCCCACTTATTGATAAAGGTCTGGTAGAGCGGCGTGGAACTAAAATAACTAGGTATTATTTCTTTCTTCTTTGACGGACAAACATAATCTATTAAGTACTTAATTTCACAAACTCTTATGCATTTATTATTTAAGTTCTTTCCTCTTCCTTCAATTCCTGCCTGGCTCAAAGATTGTCTGGGAGAGTATGCCATTATGTATTATATTATAACTGCAATATAGTTTCAATATAAACAAATATACCAGCTCACTAGATACAACTCATTCATCATATTTTTATAAACTAGTTATCAATGACAACGGCAAGGCTTTCTGTGTACAACTACGGTTAAATAAATAAATATTACAAATTAATAAGTATTTTTGTAATGTTACATTCCGATTAGCGACATCCTGTTGAATACATTTGTATAATAATAACTTTAGAGGTAATTCTAGTTAAATTGTATGTTCTTTAATAAATTTAATGTTTCCGAAAGGCGGCCACTGTGCACTGTGTTTTGTAATTGTAAGAATATTTTCAGAATAAAACTTGTGTCGAATTCATCGTTCGTTTTATTGTAATTAATCCCAATTACTTACGATCTTCTAAAAGTACTTAATTCCTACTTAATCAGTAGTAGACTTATAATCCTAATTTATTATATCTACAATCCATTCAATTGCGTTATCATAATCTTTAATAATATGTACTTTATTGCTGTTCAGAGGGTACCGTATCTTAAAAACGTCACTGTGTGATTCAAATATAACTATATTGTGATTATCTGGATTAACTATCTGAATTTTATAAATGCGAAATGCGTAATAGATATAGTTTGTCTCAGGATAAAACGTAGGAAGTTTTAACCCTGATTTTTAAAAGGGGACGTGCGTGATTAAAAAAAGTTTAAAATAATCCATAAGGCTGTGTACACATGTTTTGAATGTCTTAAATAGTAATGAATATGAAATATTTAATTCAGTATTAATTCAGCTTGAACTTGAATGACTGCATGACTATCAAAACGTTAAACTGTCGTTTCGTCCATTCCTGACCTAAGCAACAGCCTTGTGATGTAACGCGGAGGTCGGTGGTCTTAAGAAGCTAGGTTCCCAATTCGGCTCTTGGCAAGATACGTCTAGAAACATAATACTTAATATACATTTATACATGTACCTACCCTTGACAGTGCTTTTGACAAAAGTCAAGGTAGGTAAATAAGCAACATATGATATAATTCAAACTAGAACAAGCAACGAAAACTTATTTACAAGTCTAATATTTATAAGAATGGAAACAAAAAGTAAGATTATGAATTAATAATATTTTAAATACGTGAATGTGAATATGTATGTATGATCGCTGGCGTGGCACAAGAACTTGGCTCACTTTTATGACGTTGTGTCAATTATCAGTTAGTCTAATAGATGCTGATCGGAAACTCGTTAGATTCCGCCAGAGTTGTATCACAACAGCACCGGCCAGACGTACCCGAGCGCCGCCATGACGCTCGGACTCACACCGGCTCTACTCCTGGCGGCAATCTTCCTATGCCGAAGTATCCTTGGCCTAAACTACGCTCCCGACTTACCAGAAGACGCGAGACTCAATTTCACAGGACTAGCCACCAAATACGGTCTACCCTGCGAGGAACATGACGTTACGACCGAAGACGGATACATCCTCAAGCTCTTCCACATTCCCGGGGACAAAACACGCCCTGTACTCCTCATGCACGGAATCATCGACTCCGCTGACACATTCATGATTAGAGGAAATACGTCCATGGTGATGGCCCTCAGTACAGCCGGCTACGACGTGTGGGTCGGCAACAAGAGAGGGAACAGGTACTCCAGAAAGCATCGGACTCTTGATCCCGACATCGATAAACAATTTTGGGACTTCAGTTTTCATGAGATCGCCCTGTACGACTTGCCGGCGACCATCGACCACATCCTAAACAACACGGGCCAGCCTAGCCTCAGCGCCATCGGACATTCGCAAGGAAATACAATTTTCTATGTGCTGGGCTCCATGAGGCCCGAATACAACGACAAGATCAAAATACTCATCGCATTAGCACCCGTTTGTTATTTGCACCACCTACAGCCACCGTCAAGACACGTCGTGGAAGCGTGGCCTTTCGTGGACGAACTGTTGTCGTTAGCGGGAACAGAAGAAGTTTTTGGGGAGCAAACACTGGAGATACATATTTTAAAGACTGTGTGCACCCAAAAAGGTAGTTACGAAATATGCGCCAAACGTTTTCTGCTAGCATTGGCCGGTATGGACCCCGAGGAGTTGGAGCCGGAGTTCCTTCCAGTAGTGATGTCCCATTACCCGTCGGGGACGTCAAGGAAAGGCGGGACTCATTTGCTGCAGCAGGGTTTGAAGAAAAGCTTCGCGCAGATGGATTATGGTGTTGAGAAGAATTTGGTTGTTTATAATTCTGTGAGTCCGCCTAGTTATGATTTGGGGAAGGTGAGGATGAGGGTGGCGTTGATTGCGGCGGCGAACGACGGGATGAGCGCGCTGGCGGACGTGAAGCTGCTTCGGGCTCGCCTGCCCAACGTCGTTGAGTACCAGGTCCTGGAGCGCAGCCGCTGCAACCATCTCGACTACGTGTGGGGCCGGCGCATGGCCAAGTATTTACTCCCGCACGTGTTCTCGTTGTTAGAACGGTTTGGTGGATGAAAGTGCAGTGTTGTGAGTGTTGTGATATAAGTGACGCATGTTCAACGAATTAGCTTAAGACGTATCACTCATTAAGGCTGAGTTGCACCACCTAACTTTGACCGTAACTATAACGATAACCGGTGCTTTTTGTATGGAGTTTGACAGATTTTTGACGTCTGTCAAAGTTAAAGCAAGATGGTGCAACCCAGCCTAAGTAATATTCATTAATTTTTTATTACACGTAAGTGCGAAAGATACTATTACATCCGTTATTTATCCAAAACTCATTCTTGTTTATTTTCGGGAGCCAACTATTTTGATACTTATTTTACGAGTAAGTATGGCTGTGATCTAAATAATCAAACATAAACAAACATCTGCAAAAGGCATCACTTTAATAAATTAAGGTAATATAAGTTTATACGAGGCCAATTTGACACAAAATGCATTTATTAATAAAATCAAAGTCGTCATAGAATGAAGGCTCATGTGTTAAACAACAACACAACTTATCATGATGAATCTAAGAATGTAGAGCTACAGCTCTGACACCTATTGTTATTGTAAAAATTTGTAAAAATTATAAAAATTCGATTATATTTTTCAACAACTAAATAATCGTGCAAAGGTCCACCACATTAGCTGCTGATAATTAAAACTAAAGTGTGGCATGTATTGCTTCAGGGATTGTTAATTATATGTCCTACAAAGTTGTAATGTAATAGTTAACAGTTTTTGAATTAGCCTCCACTACTGTCGAAACTAGAATTTAAAAAAATAAAACAGATTAAATTAAAAGGAATCGAGAAATTTTATAATTTACCCGATGCGAATATTAAAAATATGTTGATGTATATGGAAGAGTGGATTTGTATTTTTTGCTAAGTTCACTGTCAAGAGTTTTGTTAGTAAGCTAGGTAATTATTAATGTTGTAAATGTCAGAGTATATAACACGAGTATTTATTTAGACACATGCTAGTTGATCATGATGTAGTTGAACAAACAGAATAAGTGAGTTATTTGAACATAATTATTCAAAAGAAGACACTGTTTCAATGTTATTGAAAGATTTAATTTTCCTCGTTTTAAATACTCAATACTCAAATACTTATTATCCTATTATCAACTACCGCCTCCCCCTTTTATCTGTCTCTGGGTTTTCTGCAAAAGATCGGTTCATTCTTTTTTTGCCCTACCAGCACTTCAAGACAACCAACATTTGGCAAGTGCTGAGAAGAAAGTAAAACATAGTGAATGCAGCCTGCATCATGTATGAACAACATTGTTGAATGCTGAGTATTTGTATTTATTCATATTTAAATGTATTAAATAAACACACAAAAAGTGTTAAAAAACAGCTCTTGCTTTTCATGACTGTTCGGCATAATTTTAACACACCACTTTTTACAACTGCGCTGACATGCACTTGGTAATTTTTTTCAATAAACATGTAACAAGTTTGATAAAATTTTATCTAAACACAAAATTGTATTAGTCGCCAAGTATTTTGTTTGTCGGTCGTTACATTTGTTCTCGATTATTTTTCGGCAGTTGCCTGCTAGGTTCAAGGTAGACTTGAGCACCTACGTTTTTTTACCTCACTCAATATCTCTTCTTATCGAAGAAAAATCGCCCATTGCTACGAGTAAGTATAGTGATTAGTGATAGTATTAAGCCACATAGCGATTTCTTATCCATATCTTAATGCAGTTCTTATATAAATATCTTTGTAATTAACAAACCTAAACAAAATCAGTTGATGTGTTCTGGTACCTAGTGATGGTGTGGAACTGAGGTGTGCCTTGATACCTCACTAATACTCCGTGGTGCATACTCCCAACATGTTACTAATCATATTTTCGTGCCTTCTTACATTATCCGCAGCGAATGTCCAGAACATCACTCAAAGCGAATTTTCGGCTAATGGAGTCCCAACCTTCCCGCAGCTTGCTTTGAAATATGGATGGAACTGTGAAGAATACGATGTAGTGACAGAAGATGGGTACATCCTCAAAGTGTTCCACATCACTGGAAATGAGTCCAAGAAGCCCGTTCTGCTGATGCACGGCATCCTCGACTCAGCCGACTCGTACGTGATCAGAGGCGAGATATCTATAGCCATAAACCTGGCAGAAGCAGGCTACGACGTGTGGGCGGGCAACGTCAGGGGGAACAAATATTCACGACGCAACGTGAACCTTTCGCCTGACAAGAATAAGTACAGATTCTGGGACTTTACTTTCCACGAAATGGGCATTTACGACCTGCCCGCTACAATCGACTTCATTTTGGCGAAAACAGGCAAGCAGAAGCTGTCCGCCATTGGGCATTCCCAGGGCACCACAATGTTCTATGCATTAGGGTCTGTGAAACCAGAGTACAATGAAAAAATATCAGTTTTCATCTCATTAGCACCCATAGCTTACCTGAACGACATAAGTACCTCTTTAAGGGGGCTAATAAAACTGTGGCCAATAATTAATGGCTTTTTCATAGGCTTGGGTTACGAAGGAGTCCTGCAGGACCAGTCGGCTGGGAATGAATTAGTAAAATTCCTGTGTACTCTAGGAGAAATAGGCTACGATCTATGCGTGAAGGGCGTCCTGGCCTCCCTGGCGGGAGAGGACTCGGAGCAGTTGGAGCCAGAGTTCTTGGACGTTTTGGTGGATCACTACCCAGCTGGCACCTCGCGGAAGGCTTTTTCGCACTACGTCCAAATCTCAAATAGCGGTCGCTTTGCGCAGTACGATTATGGTACATTAAAGAACATGATTTTGTATAAGAAGGCAACTCCTCCTGCTTATGATTTATGGAAAGTGACGATGCCCACAGTCCTCCTGGCGGGAAAAAATGACGGAGTTTCAGGGATTAAAGACGTGGAGCGACTGAGGGACGAGCTCGGGAACGTGGTGCGCTACCACGTCATGGAGCGCGAGAAGTTTAACCACGTTGATTTCGTTTGGGGGAAAAATATGAACGTATATATGACCCCTCTTTTGAGGGATTTGCTACGCGAATTTGCCTGAGTGATTAAAAATCAAGTTTCTACCCTGGGTTGTTTGTATGGAGTTGGACAGACTTTTATTATAGCTAATGTAAGATGGTGCACCTCAGAATATGTCAGCCATAAAATTGTCTTCTTGAAGAATCACAGCTTCGACTTTGTTTAAAAATAGTTATTGTTATTTAGTTGATTTAGCTTAAAGCATAATATTAATAAAAAATATCATCGCACGTTTGTTTCAACGAAATGACGTCTACTGTTAGACAAAAATGATCATATAATAAAAAAACTCATTATATTTAAAAAAAAAATCCAAGAATTTCTGGTTAAAAAATGCTACTATTCAATCCAGAAATATTTATCTGACAATGGTAAAATAAGTAGTGAAAAATTGTCGTATGAATCTAATGTAATCATTATTTTATTCAATTCAATTTAATTTATTTCATTTACTATTGTATTGTATGCCCTAATGGCGGAACACAGTGAAACTTATGTAACCTGTATGTATGTATATAACCTGTGATTCACAATAAAGACATTATCCCAACTAATATTATAAATGCGAAAGTAACTCTGTCTGTCTGTCTGTCTGTCTATTACGCTTTCCCGCTTAAACCTCGCAACCGATTTTGATGAAATTTGGCATAGAGATAGTTTGAGTCCCGGGAAAGAACATAGGATAGTTTTTATCCCGGTTTTTGAAACAGGGACGCGCGCGATAAAGTTTTTCTGTGACAGACAAAATTCCACGCGGGCGAAGCCGCGGGCGGAAATAAAAAAAGATACTATTATACACTTTTGATACATAATTATAATTATAAAATACAGTGTGAGTCACGTTAAAGTGTACATATGAAAATAGATGAAACTAGACCTATTTTTATCGACAAAAAAGAGGTGAAAATTTTTTTGAGATTTTTCTTTAATTTTTTATAGATTTTTTTTTCTTCCAATTACTTATTATGAAGAAAACGTAATAACTTTTAAACTAAGCGGTATATCCTGATAAAATAAAAACAGTAATAATGGTAAATAACAGGCAATACTAAAAAAATACATAAAATACACAAAAAATGCCAAGAAATAATAAAAAATTATACTTTTNTTTTTGAAATAGCAAATTATCCTATTTTAGTTTAACAAAATGTGTATTTACTGTGTACTAATATATTTTAAATGGTATGTATACTCATAATATTTGATTATCTACACTAATGTCATTGGTTAAAACTCTCGAAAATAATTGTAATATTTAGGTATTACGTTCTTTACATAATGTGACTTATATTTTTTTACATACTTTCTTTCAAATTAATGTGTCATTACTTAGTTTCTTATTTTTAAATTAAATTCACGGAAATTGTATCAATATTATAAAACATTGCAAATCTTGTAATCTAAGGCATAAAAATTAATAAACCTGTTTGCATAATATATTTTTGGAAACATGAATTGTATAACATTTGAAATTTTAATAAATGTGTAATCTGTCACTTATTAATTAATAAAATTATATGAATGATACGAAATAAAATCAATATAAAATGTATAAACATAATAAATAAAAATGTGGATAGAACGTTACTATTTTTTAGCAAATTTTTTTACCATTGTTTTTTAACTTACTTTAATATACTTATTAATTTTATTTCCTTTTCAAAGGGGGAAGTAATGTGCCGTATACACACATAAGTTTTCTATGTATTAACTTCTATATAAATAAGTTGTCATGTAAATTGAGTCAGTGTAATACAAATGATCGGAGCAATAAACATCGTTCAAACCACAAGTATTGTGTCGTCTCTCATTAATTACACTCACCCCGCGCATACGCGCGCACAGCTCGGAAACGTGGCCTCTCACTATAGGCCTTATACAGAAGCTCAAAGTTGCACAGCGTGCTATGGAGGGCTATGCTCGGTGTTTCTTTACGAGATCTAATCAGAAATGAGGAGATTTCCTCCTTCCTTCTCCTCATTTCTATGTCAGCGGACTCAGCGGACATAGCCCGACGCGGACGCAGAACTGACGGCCGATGGGGCAGGAAGGTCCTGGAATGGAGGCCGCGTACCGGAAAACGCAGCGTGGAACGTCCACCCACAAGGTGAACCGACGACATCATANTTCCGCTGAAGCCAATCACCATCGCCAGATGCTCCAAAGCATGGAAATGTATTCGACAATAACTGTGGTCATACTATTCGTCATCGTTGGATATTTCTTATGGAGACGCTGCAAAAACAATTATGGCATCGTCGAGCCCACGACCAGAGCTGAAGGCAGGCGCAGCCGCCAAGGCTACGCACCTTCGCAAGTCATCGGATAAAAGTGAAATTGTGTCGTGCAGTGCAAAAGTCAATTTATCAGTGAATCTAAGTGTAATAATTCAGTGTATAACAAGTGTAATCGCGTATCTCTATTAGATAATATTTTTGAAATAGCAAATTATCCTATTTTAGTTTAACAAAATGTGTATTAAAATTTACTGTGTACTAACACAGTAGATATATGAGCTAAAGCAGTACGGAAACTTAGCCCTTTCGGCGAGTTAAATACCTACACTTCAACTGAGTGTTAGGGTTGGCACTCTTAATCTTTATAAAATTAATAAGGTTCTGACTTACTTATTTGTTAAAACGTTTATTTAGGTTTTTTAATTATCAAATAATTAGGTTCTATAATGATTGAATACATAATCGAATAAATTGATTAAGTACTATTAGAGGCCGGTAGAAGATATTCTATTCTCATAAATAAAATACCGGATACTTACTTTCACATAGCTATTGACTCATTTTAAATACAGTTCATCACTTAGTCGTGAGCCATGAACTTCTACTTAGAAAGCTTGCAGTGATAGGGATCGGTGGCAACGCACTCAAAATGTTCACCTCCTACCTGAATGACCGGCTACAAATTGTTAAAATCGGCGATAGCCAGAGCAGAACTCTTCCAATTCATTACGGGGTTCCACAGGGATCCGTACTAGGCCCCCTGCTATTTTTAATCTACATAAATAGTATAGATAAAATTGGACTACACGGTCATATTACCTTATACGCTGATGACACCTGTTTGTTCTATTTTGGGCCATCCATGAATAATCTAATCTCACATGCCCAACATGATCTTGACACTCTCACAACCTGGTTGCAACAAAATCTATTAACAATTAATGCATCTAAAACTTCATACATTATTTTTAAAGCGAAGAATAAGCACATACCTCCATTCAACCCATTGACAATCTTCACTACATCATTACAAGAAAAAAAACACGAAAAATATTTAGGTCTTTATTTAGATAGCCACTTAACATGGAACGTTCATATTGACCATATTAAGAAAAAAATTTCCGCATTAATGGCTTCTTTACGCCCCATAGTACGATGCATACCCCGCAAATCAAGATACAATATATACAACTCACTTGTAAAATCCCACCTAATATACCTTGTTGAAATCTGGGGTAGTGCTTCAAAAACAAAAATATCCGAACTCCAAGTCTTACAAAATAAAATCATTAAATTATTATTTCATTATCCGTACCTCACATCCACTTCAAAGATTTATAGCGAAACACAAATTATGAACATTAAAAAATTATTTATGTATTATACCTGCCTGCTCATACGCAACGTATTGAATAAAACCATCCATACGTCGCTCACTCTGATGACGCGGTCAGAACAGGTTCCGAAGCGCACGCGCCGCACAGTGGTCTGAAAATGAAGCTCCCATACCATAGAAACTTAATGTCAGAAATTAATAAATAAAAATATGTATTGTGTTTAGTATACCTCCCTTTGTTTTACTAATATAGTATGAAGGGTATGAGTAGCTCCATGTGTGAGAAAAAAAATATTTTTATTTTTTTTGTATGGAAAAAAACACTTAAAGTGGATTTTTTTTAAACTGAATAGAACTGAAGGGCTGGTACTCACATGAACTATTGCACCATACATGGCGATCAAGATGACATATAATTCTTGTGCCGTTGGTTGCCGCTTTGCATGTAGCAAGCTTTGGAAATTTTGAATTTTCGGTAGGTGATCTTTCAAGTCTTTGATGTTATTTTATGAAGTTATTCACCGTTTTCAATACGAGAATAGTATGTAAATTAATACTCATATAACTAGGAATATACTAGGGGTATTTTTAAATAATTTTTATTTTGAAAATATAAAAAAAAAAGTTTAATCATTGAATGAAGTAACCAACCAGTTGGTAACTGACATTGTTATTAGTTACTAACCTGCTAATGACGTTTTAATGAAAATAATAGAAATCAATATTGATTAAATAAACAACTTAAAAAATCGAACTGCCTAATAGGCTAATAGAATTACATTTGAAATCGGAAATAATTCCTACAAAAGATTTTATTGTTTTAATGGCTTCATTTGTTACCCATTAAGACTTTCCTAAGTTTTCGACTTCGACGGAGTTGTGCTTATGTGGTGGGGGCCCCCGAAAGGGGCGTTTTTTCGGTTTTACGGTTATATCGCGTAAAGGACTTACCCTATCGAAAACTGGTCTTCATGACAGTTGAAGGGCATTTAATCCTGCATTGAATGAGATCAAATTTTTGACAAACCGTTCTCGTGCTTATCTTCGACAAAGTACAAAATGTACGTATATACAGGCTGTTGATTTCAATACTTTTAGGGAGTTGATCAAGTAGCTTATTCTGATGAATAATCAGTAAAAAAATTGACTACGATAAATATTTCAAACGAACTTTAACTTTAGTTAGTCAAAGAAAAATACCTATTTACACTACCTACTTTACGTGGCTTCCTTCAGTAGGCTATCCGACATGATAAGCGAGCTATCCACGTAGCTCGATGGTGTCGCAGTGTAAATGTATTGCAGTATTGCGAGTTATAATACAGTTCATGTTGCACGGAAAAAATTCGCTAAAAATTCCACTTTCGTTTGTAATTTTTTTTGGTGGATAATGCGTTTATATAAGTCATAACAGATCACCTAAATAAATATGGCGAGGATTGAAATCAACACCCTGTATAATTAATGACGTAGAGAGCTACGTCCAATGGCTCGTCACTCGCAGGCTCTCCGACTCAACTAGTTTAACCCTGTCAAGGCTTAA